TTTCTACTTGCTGTGTTCCAGTATCAGGTGCCTAGGGTATTTTATTATTAGCAACCGTTGTGGAGAGACTAGAGATAGCTAGGTAGTTATAGTTATAGGGTTATAAAACCCGGCACTTTCGTCTTCCGTTCTTATAGCTAATTTGAATTTGAAGTCACATGTACGGAAATAAGAAATTTGTGTTTTGATATCTCACGTCATTAGGGCTAGATCAATCGCCTATCATATGTCTATCGGTCTTGGTATCGACTTCTGTTGCCTTCGGCGTGGGAAACATTCGGGTTTAACCGATACAGATCAGTATTGCTCTTTAACCCATGACCTTGGCACTAGCTTTAGCTTTTTTCTTGCTATCGTAAGTAAGAGTGGCTCAAGCCGCAAACACGTGGCTTGTAGAAGAAAGTCAGAGAATTATCGTTGCCCAAGCTAGAATTGCTTGCTAATAGTATTACGCTTCGTACATGTCCTTACTAACCCCAGTAGTGGAATCGTCTAGATGGATATAAGCTTCACCGCTGGTGAGAAATGGAGAAGGAAAGAAGAATCGGGTCCGGCTAATTCCGTGGGTTATATTGTGAGATCACTATTGTATCTTCCTATCATCAGCGAAGAAATTGCGTGTACTTATCTGGTGGGCATACCAAAGCGCAAGTTTCCTTTGCCAGAAATGGGGTTGAAAAAAGGTTAATACCTGGTTTGCAAAGTCGATATTACGATATAACATGCAATGCTAGTAACCCCGGTGCCGTTTGAGCTACCCTGCACTGCATATGCGAGAGCTATGTAGGTATGACATACAGCATAGGGCTGACGAATGAGAAGTACATGAAACCAAAGTCTTTACATAGGCAAAAAGCAAACCGAAGATCCATTGTAAGACCATATGGGCAAGCTCAGCCACACGTCTACGTACATGAATTCTACTTACACGAATACGGAACCGAAAACAACGGCTTTTGGTGTATACAGATACTGTAGGTTCTTCTGTCCCGACGATCTGGAACAGTTGGGCACATGCGTCGTGGCGCTGATAATGAATGGGTCGGGGTGGTGTGGGCTTGCGTAAGACGCACGCCGCCAGGCGGTGAGCACACGCAAACGCAGCACGCAGGCTAAATCTTGCGTGGTCCAACGGGCACAAAGTCTCGGGGCCGATCGGATGCTGTTCGGATGCTGTTCGGCTTGTGGCTTACGTAGCGTACCCTACCCTACCCTACCCTATCGCTTACACCTTGATGTTAGTCGTTTAATGTGCGAAGACTTTTGTGCTGACGGACTGGGAAGAAACTTGCGAAGGCGGCTTACAAGTCTTCGGAGATAGCCGATGTGGATGAAGTATTGTTTGGGAGTCTGAGATGAGTTTGAGGCACGAGCATGGACAAGTGCTATGGTGAGGGTGCGGGATTTCTAGATACGAGAAGGTGATGAGGAATAATTACAGTCACTAATGGAAAATGAGTTGTGGGGGATTAATATTCAATTTAGAGGGGTTCATGTATCTTTTGACGTGTACCAAAGCCATGAATATGAAAGTACCTAGGTATTACCACCAATCCCCGAGCCTCCTAAAAACCAAAAATCACCCTACCCAGACGCCGAATATGCTAAGGGCTGTATGCTATATGGAAAAGCAACGATGAAGTGAGTAACCGGTGAATAGTGATGATGTAGTGACCATGACGCCGAAAGGAGAGGTATAGACGAAATCTAGGAAACCGCAACTCCGTGACCATGCAGTGGATTAACCCCCCAACCGACCAGGAAATGCAAATAAATGAGGCGAAAACAATCACAACTCCTTAACCGGCAACACGAACCGGACCTTCTTCCTAGGCTTTGCAGCCGGTATATCTATAGGTTGAGTCTTCTTATCCGAGCCGTCATCGAGATCCTCGACGCTCAGCCCCATCTCGCTCATAGTTTCCTTCTCGGGTTCTTCGTCGATGGACCAGACGTCCGGACTGGGCTCGCGCCAGGAGTGCCGCCGCTGTAGCGTACGGAGGGCAGGTCGACCTCGAAGACTAGCACGTCGAGGTGGCGGGGCGAAGCGTTTGGCTAGACGGCCTCTGGGTGATCCAACGTGGAATGAGGATGGTGATAGTAGAGTCTCGGCACTTCGAGACAGGCCATGGTTGGGAGAGCTGTGTCGAGGGTGATCGAAGTAGTCGTCGAGGCCAAAAGGTAGTGACTTGTGGGTATTAAACCGTATGTATTCTTCTTCATCGTCGTCATCGTCGTCGTCTAGGATGGCGCAGTCTGCCTCCTTCTTGGCCTTGTACCGCCTGAGGCCATCGAGCGTTGAGGGACTCACGCTTCGCACAATATGGCGGGGACTGTTTGAGTCCTCGATGCCAGCATCGAAGTCGAACTCAAATTCTAACTCATCATCTCCGGGGGTCGCAGGTGTTAAGAAATATTTGAGAGGGTTCTCGGGCCTTGAAGAGCTGTCGATGTCTTCATCATCTGTGGAAAGGCCATCCCTGTCCTCGTCGAGTGCCGGTGGAATCCGGCTGGGACTTGAAGGCCATGAACCGCTGGGCGGCCATGACTGTCGGTGCACTGCATTCGGTGCGTCCGATGGTGGTGAGAGAGGCATGTTGGTTGATTATTGTAGAGCTTGGTAGGGCAAGGGTCCTTGATAGCGAAAGGTAGGCACCCAAATACTCATCTCAAGCTGGGATAACTTAAATTGTTCACAGGCTGGAAGAAAGGCCACTCTTCCTTCGAATTTGGACCTTCTCAAGGTGCCGGGCCCAAGCCGGCTCAAAACGAACAGGTGTAAGTGTAGTGAATGTGACAGAAGGAAACGAGTCAAACCCTCGAGTCGAAAGTGATCAGTCAGAACAGCAGGTTAAGCGAAAATACGGCGGCGAGGCCGGGTATATATAAAATCCCACCATAGGCAGAAGGCATATGTCAGGAAAGTGGCTGGTGCTCGGGTTAGTCACCTGTTGACTAAAGAAGCTGCCTTGTGGGTTCGTGGGCAAAGGTGGTGGTGGTCATCCCGGTCCCTCAGCTGTCAAGAAGGGTACGGTATCTTAGAAAACCCCACAACGCGAGAGGTCTATTGCTTATTGCCGTGAATCAATCACAGGGCGCAGGGGACGAAGACTCACATCTTGGACGAAGAAAGAAGCCGAGGAGGCAGATATCTTCCCAAAGGGGAACCATGCATACGAAGATGGTGTGCGGCCCAGAAGGGAAAACCGGGTGAGGATACGAGTTCACCACCTCCCCAGCACTAAGGACGACGACTACCCCCCCACTCTGGTTGCTCTTGTCACTCTTCTCAGTCTCATCAACTAGGCATCTGACATGGTTGCACACCCTCTTCCCCTACTATCTCCCGTAAACCGACATAATGCACGCATGTATGCGACGCTGGTGAGGCTCGTGAGCGTTCGTATCATTCGCTGCTGTCTTAGTGAGTCGATCGCAATGCATAGTTGAGGATCGGGATTGCGCATCGCTGCAGCGCGTCCCCGCTGTACCTTGCATGAGTTGGGTGCTCGAGTGCGCTGGGCCATTTGCACACTGCGGTGGCGTGATGCACCGCAACTGGATGGATTTCCAACAAGCCCGGCTGCTGCGGCTGTGACGGAGGGTGTACTTTTCTGAACATACCGTAGCTATTCGTCGTTGACTGTGAGTCTATGTACATATGCTTGTATCATCTTACTCGTACCTATGCCAGAGAGGTGTGAACAGACAAGGGTATTAGTAAGATGGTTGTAGCTGACGAACTATACTAACCTAACCTATCCCCTTGAATGCTAACTCGGCACCAACATCCTTGAATACACCGATGACCAGGATCTAGGCCAATAAAATCGCTTATTTTATAGATACATCCATTTACACCTAATTTGGCCCATGCCAGATGTTACTGCAATAACTATCGCTACAAAAAGCTGCATGACTTTATCTAGTGCAATGAAGTCACTTCTGTTAGTAGGGGTAGTGTGGAGACCCATCGGGTCTCAAAAAGGGTTGGTGCCGAGTTAGCATTCAAGGGGATAGATACCTGCTTGGAGCTAGGGAGCTAGGGAGCAGAATGACCTCTAGTCTGATATACAAACAAGAAACAGCTTAGGTTATGACGCTAGTACAATCGACTTTTGTGAGTCAAATGTGCATGTTCCAGTCGAGTACTCTGTATTGGTTAGGTAGTTATTGAGAATGGCATATACATCCAAACCGAGAGAGTGGTTGTGCAAATAGTGCCCCGCGCCACCCATGCCCAGCAAATACTAACTCCCGTTAGTTATCAATCGTGCAGCATTTAGCACCATCCCTTCACCACCCTCGGTGTGACTGGGGAAATGCAGCCGTGAAAAGATCTTGTTTGCCTGGGAGGGGCACTTGATACGAGTGCTCTGGCATGCCTCAGGTGACGGAGCTTATCAACACCCACGGCCTGATTGCAACCCAACAATGTAAGTAGACGTTGACGGTGAACGGTGAATGGCCATGGCTTGCAACTAATGCCCCTCGCCGGGCGGATCCGGAAGTTTAATTGGGGTAGTTGACTGGATACTTTCGTACTGGACTGAGGGGTTTCGATATACTACAGTAGGTATGTATGTGCAAGTTTCCTTGCTTTCGTTGCGGAAAGCGAACTCTTTGGAGGGTTGATACTACTCACAAACAGCTACTGGTGCATGGTATTAGTAATAGTCCGACCCCTCTACTTACAAGTATTTGCACACACTTCAAGCTGGATACAAGCTGACTCGTCGATTTGGGGCGTGGCTAATTAGCGGCACCACCAAATCCAGTCCAACCAAGGCAAACGGCAAATCTCGTTTTAACGAGCGACGACTCCACACAGGAAGCTCATCCCTTCCTCCTGGGGCTTGTGGTTTAGTGGTATAATACTCCCTTAGCATCTGAATGTCTTCTCCCCAGAAGCTCAATAGGAATTGGGAGTGGTCCGGGGTTCGATTCCCCGCGTTTCCAATGTCGGTGGTTCAATCCCGCTTTGTATACCCTTGATTTTCTCCGAATTGGTGTAGTGGCCAACATTTGACGCTCTCATCTGCCTTCTCGGCCCTCTCACCAGAGGTTGGTTGAGGAGGAGTGCCAGTGCCGTCAAGCCCGGGGTTCGATTCCCCGATTCGGAGTTGCTCTTCATTTTTTGCGTGCTTAGTCCTAGCATATGCAAGATTGTTTTCCCCGACGCCTGAAGCATGTTTGGGTAGTGAGAGATAAATGGATAGGTGGGCTTGCCTTATCCACATAGGCTGGTGGGCTATAATGAATGCACCGGGCCGTTCCTTGGCTCCCAACACCCAGCTTGAAAATGCATGTTTTCCTTGCATATTGTTTCGTCTGAAGATATCCCCGATAGGAAGTTGTTTTGTCGATCGCTGAGATGCATGGCCATTAGGAGGTCGAAGTGTCGACTGACCACTTGGTCGCATAGTCTCCAATGCGCAGCTAATCAAGTCGGCGTGTTTTAAGGTTAAGGGATCTAATCGCGGATTACCTACCCTCTGCAGATCGGGAATTCGGCTCAACCCGTGTCGGCTCGGATTTTGAGTTTGCTGAAAGTATGCATGCATGTAGGGCTACCAATCAATCCTGGGAGACGGCAGACTTGGAGACTCGCGGCTAGCGCGCAGCTCACCGACCAAGCACGCCCGATGAATAAGTATCACATCACGTGAAGGGCGCAACCACGTGAGGCAGTAGTAGGTTGCCCATGTCCAATCAGCGTCCGAGTTTTCGAAACAAGGTAGAGTTGAGAGGCAGAGGGACGGGTTGGTGACTAAGTAGGTACAGTAGGTAGGCTCCCTCATCAACCCTCCCATTGCGCTTTCTCGACAGAAGATCGTCGCCGTGGTCACCGATGTCGCCATCGTCGATCCCGCTCTAATCAAGTGCCCCAGCCCGGTCATACTACCATGATTTTCTGGAGCAATATCTCCGTTCATGAAACGCCTGACCAGCCCCGAGTCTTCCTAGCATGGGAGCGGGATCGTTTAGATCCGCGTTGTTTTGCGTGATTGAATCTGTTATGACGTCGACAAGCCAGAGTTGAACGGTGTTTGGGACCTGCAATGGTACCTGCCGCGCGCTGGTTACACTATGCCTTGCACATGGCCGAATCTTGGGTGTCAAGATCCACTCAGCTGGGACCTGGGTTCTAACCTGAGCATCTGGGACCGTTAATAAATACCTAATCTGAATCCTCGTCAGTCGTTCCCCAAATTTTCAGTGGATAAGTTGTCAAAAGATGCAATCATTTGATCCACAGCTCAAAGAACAGTATTGAGGTATATGGAGATGAACACTGAGAATTAGTTTCGGATCCTGGCCGAATGACCATAACAGTTGGCAACTCAGTTCATTACCTTCATTGTTGTCTGGTGCCTTGCGAGATAATTGATGACATCGCCCAGCAAAAAGCCAAGACAGCTCTGATAGGCTGGGATCCAGTTTCGAACCGCAACTAGACCTTACGCCTAACCTTGTCGAATACCTGACGGGTCCCTCGAGCTCAAGACGATACCGACGTTCCCAATACCTGTCATCAACTCTTGATGGCTTGACGTGTGTTGCTGTCTTCCTTCGACTTATGACAAAGACGTCGTAGGTAAAGACCAAGCTTCGTTTCGACTCTTTTGCCGCCGAAAGAGACGAAGTGGGAGCAAGCCATAATAATATCCTCGACCATGTCTTTCGAACCACTCATGGAGAAAGCTGGTTCTGGGCATCATGCTCTGTTGGCTTCGGTTTCCGGGGTAAAGGGCCGCATCAACGGTGGCCGGACTCATTGAATTATGCAACGATATCTTGGGTCTCTTACAACTACAGCACTGTATTATTCCATCGGTATGTAATTTCGGTATACTGTAATGGTGGCGGAAGGGAGATAGGAGTAGAATCATTGTCAAGGCCCATCTACTGGGCCAGGTTTAGCTACCTGCTTAGGCTTATGGCTTATAATTCATTGTCCAGTATACATCGTCTCAATTCTCTCTGCAAGGGAACTCGGTATTCGCCGCAAGGAGTCATCTGGAGGTTCAATGCCTTTTGACCACGGAAATATCCGCCCAATCGGGGCCCCAGTACGTGTATCGGTCCGGAGCATTGACAAAGGCAGTTTGGAACATCTACCATTCAGGTCTTTTATTTGGTGGGCAAGACGCACGCAAGCAGACTGCAGTCGGCTCGATCGAGAAGTGCCTCGGTTGGCGACTCACTATTAGTGCAATGACAGGAACAGCAGAAAACCCGCATATGCCGGCTGTCTGTGGATTATACCCGATTCCGTAGCGCAGTCTAGCTCTAAGGACGAAGATAGGAGCGAGCAACGTCTGGTAACCATCTTACCCCCCTAAACGTCCCGAAGCATGTCAATACTACGGCCGTTTGCCACGACTGAACGCGAGCCTGTCCGCGAAACCAGGGGACCCATATTCTTCCGAGCGAAGAAGGGACAACCACGTCACTCCGCAATGTGACGGTGGTCGGTATGCCACGATTTTAGGGATGGGTTTTGCTAAAAGGCACCTAGCATAATACGATCGTGGCATGGTCGGTATCGATATCTTTAACGTTGGGACGCAATGACGCAGCGAGGTAGTTCCTTGGTTGAAAGAGCGGTGAGGCTCTTCGTGGAGGCGACTAACACCGAAGAGTCCAGCCATCTTTCTCAATCCATTGTCGGTAATGCCAAGAAACCCCCACTAGGCTGTCTTCACGATGTACTGTTTGTTCTCGCTATCCCCATGATGGAGATGAATATACTTCTAGCCTCGTCTTGGAAAACTCTTATAATGCTTAGCTTGTTACTTCCACGTGTACAGGAGCGTTCTACGCAGTCTGTAAGTTATCATTGTTCATCCTTTGCCTCGCGGCCGGCGGGGTGGATACTGTAGCTCACGATGCCTTTTGGAGTTGAAATTTGATGTTGGCAAACTTTACCAATCTGGTACTTAAGCATCCGAACAGACGTCATTTCATAATAGCTCCCAATTCCGTCGGTACTTTGTTGTCTAAAGTTACTTACTCAGCAATCGAAATGCTCTTTCAGTTCAGTGTACTTATCAGGAGAAGGTGCCTCCGGAAGGTAAACATGTAGAATAGTCTGTCTTCGGCGACAACAGCGAAGTTGCTCAAGATCGACTTCGTACGCGCATGTACAACATATATGACCCAACAATCCTACGTATCAGAATGTACGTTGTTCATCTTCAACTTACATAGTAACCATAATTGACGGGGCCTGGTACGCCTTCATGTACGCGAGACCTACGCGTCCTACTCAAGTTACTATGTACTGGTGGGCTAGCAAATAAGACAGGCAGCAATGTAGGTAGGCATACTTTTTTCACACCTGGACCGAAGAATGTAGGATTGCATGCAGGGCAGTGCACACGGTCAAAGCACACGCGCTCTCTCTTAGGTAGTAGACCGGGCGAGCCAATCCACTTGCATGAACTAGTGAATTGTAAGATCAATACGCTTACAGCTTGCGAGAAGGACAGCAAGTAATACTTCTAGTTTTGGGGCGGCCAAACGAAGACTTGTACTATGTAGATCATAACTACGTCCCTTCAATTCCTATGATAGTTCTTTTGATTCTCTGCACGCCCCCAATTGAAGAAGAAGAAAAAATTAGAAACAGAAGGAATTACGAATCATCTTGTTAGGTATACACTATCGGGGTTCCAGGGTGCCAACTGCCCAATATATTCGCCCCTCAGACTTGTCTCGATGCTACACAGACGCTAACGGAACTCCTTAAAATGCACTGGAACGAAGCCTATGGCGATTTTGGTGTTAAGTTGTTCGCTCATGTAAAGGGGCCGTCCAGGGCATCCCACACCGTTCCTATTCATCCTACGGGGGCTGGGGGCTCTGTGTCCAAACAAGTGTTCAACGACGACCAAAGGCCAAGGGCCCGCAGACCGCTCTGCCACGTCCTCCTTACAGTACAGGTGCAGACAAGCAGCGAGTTACAGTACCCTCGATGGGGTATTGCTGCAGAAGAGCCACGCGTGACCTCATTCGCGAGAGCGCATTGACGACTCCATCGTCGAGGCCGATACTGTAGGTGGATACTGCATAGTCCAGTGTACTGCTCTGGCTGGGTTGGCCCCCTCTGGACCCCACCATTGAGGCCATTCAGGGTGCTGGCTAATGCAGGCGCCCTTATTACTATGGCCCCAGATGGGGACTTGAGCACCAGGACTAGAGGCGGCATGGGAAGTGGTTGTGTTGGCGTCCGTGTTCTGCCTGCAACCAAGTAGCCTAGTCGACTGGCTGACTGCGACTTGCCTAGATCTACCGAGCACAGCACATAATACGCTACCAGACTGGCTGGATGGAGTCATAAGCCGGACATGGGCGCTGCGATGTGTGTTGTCGAAGACTGTTGGATATCCCACCCCTCTAGTAACTTTGGCTTTGCTCCGTTGAAATGCCTGTGCAGTGTCATATTGTAGAGCCACAGAGAAACCCTAGAGAAACCCTAAGCCATAACAAAGGATTTCTTCCTCGCTTTTCTCTGTCTGGGTTGTGCCAGTGGTGCTATAGAGCTCCAGCTGCAGGTCTTGCTTATTCAGACTTGAGGACACCAGGCAGTCAGTATTGATACCCAAAGCCCAACTTGGGCATTAAACGCGCCTCAGACACAGGTTGTCTATCTGTCTTCTGGCAAGAGGTATCGGAGACGTCGCTTTTTCTAGACTTTTGGTTCCCCGAAAGACAGTTTTCACCTTTCGAAATTATTAGATTCTCCCCCTTACCGAACAGAGCACCCCGGCCAAGTCACACGCCTTGTACTCGTTTCACAGAGCAATAGTCTCCAGGGCGAACTGATCCATCGACTTACACCGAAAAGGGCAGCCACCCACCAGTATCCGGTAACAGCCTAACATTCGCCACTGGACACGCCTCACGATAGCACTGCGAACGCGGACTCTCAATACCTCCGCAAAGATCGACATATTTACGACATTAATCGCCCCGGTGATCCCCTGCTTGGTGTAGCGAAGCGTCCCTGCGGCAATTACTGGCATGACAAGCCGAACCCACGACAGGGAAGACCTTGCTCTGGTGCTTCTTTGATGGGTGGTTCGGAACAGTCAGAACCCAACAGCTTCGGAACGAG